TCATCAAAACTTTTGGTTTTATGATTTTGGTTTCGATTTTTACTAATTATTTAGCACAATGCTTTTGCAGAGATGAAGGGAAATTTGAAGAAGATGCTGGACCAGAAACTATGAGTAGATATGAGGAGAGAATGCATAAAAACGAAGGAAAAAACAGTGGCAATAACTCTGGTAAAAAAATACAGCACCAGCGACGCGAAATGAAAGGAAAAAGAAGACTTGGGTTAGGGAGAAGACATTAAAAGTAGAAGGAACAAAGGACTTCATTTTAAAGATTTCTTAAATAGACTTAACCCTCGACTAAGATAAAAAGGGCCAAAGGATGAAAAGAAATAAGAAAAGGGGCAAAACCTCCACAGATTACCCTTCAACTTTTTGAGGGTGTGAAATTTTATTTTTTATTTTATAATATATAATTTTATATCTTTTGATATTTGAGTTTATGATAATGAGGTAATTTTTAACATTATGAAGTAACATGCTGCACTTCAAAAGTTGTAAGGTGAAAAATAAAGTTTTATACACTCAAACATTATGAGGGTATAAAATTATAAACTTAAATATCAAAATTATATATTATAAGATGAGAGGTAAAATCCTACCCACTCAAAAAAATTAAAGGGTAATTTGTGAGCTTTTGCATGAGAAAAGGAAGTGAAGAAAAATCAAAAAGAAAAAGAGAAAAAAAATCAATGAAGAAACAGAATGAAGAAGGTATACAACTTAGGAAAAGTATAAGATGAATAGCTCGGCTAAAATTTACTTTTACTCTTTTATCTTAATAAATTTGTAGGTTTTATTTTTTTATTTTATATTATGATATTTTTAACACTTTATCTGAATAAATTTATAAATGTTAACTTTTCACCTTATACTATGACACTTTTAACTAATAACTTATACAAATAGAAGAAAATAACCCTCACTTAATATCAGGTTATAATATTTTATTAGTTCTGTTAATTCTATTAGTTGACTGTTAATTTTCTTAGCTAACTGTTAGTATTTTTTTATAAAAAATATTAAATTTAAATATAATTTAATTTATTAATTTTGTTAACAAAATACTAACGAAATGCTAATAATTAGTTAATAGAATTAGTAAACAACTAACAAAATTTAATAGAACATTATAACCTAACATTAAATAAGAGTTATTTTCTTCATTTCATATAGATAAGAAATTAAAAGTATTATAGTATAAAGTGATAAATTAAAATTTATAAATTTATTAAAATAAAAAAT